TGACTGGAAAGACCAAAAAAGCATGAAATTACTCTGGCAATGGGATCACCCCCATGATGATGAAAAGTGCCCAGCCAAGCATCTGGCTCATAGTAGGTGCTCAATAAGTGGAAATTATAGAGAAAGATAGGAAGAGCACATTCCACTGCCAAGAGAACTATCTGTTTCCTATATGCTCAGACAACTAACTGGCTATTTTAAGAATTCCCTCTCATCTAGTAACTATACTTACATTTGCTTCCCCTACTTTACTCCTACTCCCCACCCCTTCTGCCAAAGAAATTGGTTCCAAGGACAGTGCTTCTGCCCTTGGACCTTTCAAGCTGTGCTCAGCCCAACGCTTTTAGATATGCTGCCTATATTTGCATGTTCCTACTGGGCACCCTAAGTGTGGTGTAGAGACATTGACACCCCTCCTTAGGTAACTTCTAAACGACCTCATTCCCTCCTAATGCAAATATTTTAGCTTGTTGAGGCGATTGCATGAGACAGAATGAAAAAAGCTTAGCTAAACTCTGCAGATTGTATCTATGACTTCCTGCTCATCTGAAGAACCTCATCACTGTCTGCTCTACTTGAATCAGTCACTTGGCCATGATTTTCTACCATGAGATGATCTTCACAGCCAACTAGTAATATCTTGCATTTTCACACTCTTTTAGGAGTTTGCTGATTTTTCCCCCAAGAATCTTTTCAAAGAGCATGAGTTAATGGGTTCTTATGTAATTTCCAAAGTTCTCCCTTTAAAAATAAGGAAGGTGTGTCTTCGTATGCCTGTTTCTTATCTTCAGGAACTTCTACCACCCTTCTTGAGATCTTAAAGACAAACCAAAGCACAGAAACAAAACAAACATGCCCAGCCATAACAGGCTCTGCAATAATGAACATAAACACTCTGCTTTTTAAAATAAGTTCAGAAAGAAACTTGACAAAAATAGAACAAAATATTCATGGCTTAATGTAGGCAGCATATCATGGTGATTTTTTACTATTTCTCCCCATTTTTATACACTTAGAACATCCTATTTTATAATCAGGGGTGGCCTAAAGGAATGGATTCAGAAATAGAAAGAGAAGTTAACTGTGAAAAATTACATCTGCCAGTGTGTCCCAATGGAGGAGACTTAATGGGAATGTAAGGTTCACTGAGGCTCTTTCCATTCACCTGGCAGGAGAACCCTCCTGACCGGAATTTTACACCTTTCCAAGCCTAAAGGGACTTGAAGTGACAGGTATTTCTGAATCTCTTTCCAGAGGCTGAATAGTTTCCCAGATTACAGACCCCGCCCAGAGGATGGTCAATGTCAACTCCCTTCTGTATGTAGTCTTAGTATGTGCAGCTCCATTCCGCAGCCACTAGCTTCAGGCTGAGGGTGGGCAGGGGTTGCCAGCCTTCTGGGGCACTCAGGTAAGAGTGGATGGTCAGTCACCAGGCCTTGCGGTCAAGGGGCCTCTGCGTTTTCAAAACATCTCTTGCCAGACCCACAGACGCATTATCATGTATCTTAAACCCTCCCCAGGGAAATGGCTCAAAACGGGGTATTTAAGTCAATTCATCATATATTATTTTCTTCTTTTGTTTGTTTTTTAAATTGAATACTATTTTTGTTCTACTTGGGGCTAAGCTTTGACTCATCACTTCTAAGTTTGAGTGTTGGAGGCCTTGGAGGGAGAACTGGGTTTTTCAAAGAATGGAAAAGTTATGTGGGTTGTGGGTTAGTTGTGGGGTTTTGTTTGTTTGTTTGTTTGTTTTTTCTGCTGTTCCTACTTTTGCCTAACATAAAACTGGGAGAACACGTTTTTTTATTGAAACTTTACCTAAAGAGCTATGAGAGCAGGCCTGGTGGAACTTGAGATAAAAAGCAGTAACTGTGGCTCCAGTACAACTGGGGAGGTATGTTACTAAGGACCCAGATTGTTCTGTCTTTCCATTTGGCTTCTTCAGTGCTTTGGCCTTTGTCTTCAGGCTGTCCCCTCATGGTCACAAGATGGTTGCCACAGCTCCAGAAATCACCCCTTCATATAGTCATATCTAGAGGCAAAAAAGGACCTATTCCTTTTTCTTTTCTTTTTTAAATATGTTTTGATTGATTTCAGAGAGAGAGAGAGAAACATCAGTAATGAGAGAGTCATTGATCGGCTGCCTCCTGCACGCCCCCTGCTAGGGATCAAGCCCCCAACCAGGGCATGTGCCCTAACTGGGAATCAAACCTCGGTCTCTTGGATCATAGGTCAATGCTCAACCACTGAGCCACACCTGCCTGGGGGCATTCCTTTTTTTCGTATCTTTTATCTTCCATTTTTAAGAATAAGCAAAACTTTACCCAGAAACTCCAGACTTTCCCTACTTTTTCTGGCAAAAGTGTGTCCTAAGCCCCGTTGAACCCAATCACCAGCAAGGGAATTAGACCACCGGGATTGGCTTAGACCAACCAAGATTTGCCCTCTGGGGCCAGGGTGGGGGTCCTTTCCCTGAATATAAAATCTAGCATGTGATAAATCAGCAGGTCATTTCCTCCCAGGGGGAAGGGAGGGTGCTAGTGAAGGAGTTGCTATGGCTTGGGTAGTAACCAATAGTGTCTTGTTATATCCTGCTAGAGGCGATAAGAGTTAAATTAAGACAGGATAGTGGCAATACACAAAAAGGTCCGTCAAACCCATGCAGGCCACAGTGAGCTCTATAAATGATTAATGTTACAGACTAGCAACAGCCAAGCCAAGTTCACCAAAACAAACACTGAGTTCAGAGATGGACCTCAAGTTCCATTTGTGAATTCGCATTCTTTGCCAAGTTTTCATCCACCTGGGAGGGAAATGAATCCAACAGTAATATTCCACCGGAGTAGATCACTGCATTATTCCAGGTCAGAAGAGTCATAAAGGAAGCACGCTTCCCTTTAATGAAGGAATTAGTGCTGCTCAGCGACCCAGTAACCCTTGGGAGAGCGGGGGCCTGATGAATGTTTTTTTCCCTTCTCCCTGGTTCCTTCTTAACATCTCAGGCTCATCAGTTTATTCGGTGTGTGATTTCACATTGAATCGTTTTCTTTCTGTGTTAGTACTTAAAAAAAACGAAAGAAAGAAAGAGAGAGAGAGAGAGAGAGAGAGAGAGAGAGAGAAAGAAAGAAAAGGAAGGAAGGAAGGAAGGAAGGAAGGAAGGAAGAAAGAAAGAAAGAAAGAAAGAAAGAAAGAAAGAAAGAAAGAAAGAAAGAAAGAAAGAAA